AACATATTCGACCCTCCCCCCCCCCCCCCCCCCGTAGCTAGTTTCTTCCTCCCCTCCTCATCTCAGCCGTCGAATACAGAATAAATAGCAATTGGATGTTTTTAGAAATTAATGCGCTTTCAGATGTGGTTGTATTGCGACCAACTGTTTTTATACGATAAAGGCAAATTTGAAATACTGTTTCTCATAAGAAGCACAGTATTATACCCCATCTCTGGATGTACTCCTAAGAGTAGCTAAGCTTATAATAGAGGATTGACGATTTCGAGACTGCTTGAAGTTTTCAGAGATTGATAGAAGCCTACATCTGACACGTCATTGCATATTGCACGAATCAGAGTCAACAAATAGTGACGTTTAAAATGAGAGTTATTGATATCGCATAATTAACATGTATAGTAAACTAGTTTAGAAAAATAGTACCTGAATAACGCAAGAATTTAAGTTGTTTCAAAAAATGATGTACTGTATTGCTTTGAATAGTTTCAATCGAGAAACGTCATGAAGGTTTGCGATTTGTACCGTTAAGAATTTGCAGTGTACCTGTTTTCGTGTATCCTGCCTTATTCTTTTTATAATAAAGAAAAATCGAGATGTTCTTTAGGAGTTCATTGTAAATCATTTGATTGATAGCTCCATTTTATTTACAACCTTTTTTCTCGATAGTTTTGGAAAGAGATGGGCAACGTTTAGCGCCTAAAATTAGTGACAAATTTATAGAATACAGTACTTGTACCCTGCAATCTGTCTCATTAATAAATTGGTAAGCTTGCTACACTCTAGCATGGCAGGGGAGGTGATTTATGATATGTAAATCTCTAGACCAAGTCTATCCATATTCTTCTATATCGAAATATAAAACCTGATGTAATTAGTATAGATAGGTATGCATCGCACAATTTCTCAACAGTTGATCTAGTGGAATGGGAGTGTGATCGAATTGTCATGTTATTACGAAGTATAAAATTAACTAATATATTCATTGGGTACCTATTCTTTACACGATTCACAAGCTTTCATTTTACACACGTATTAATACAATTGTTCTTTTCTAGGAAGCGTATCAGAGAACGATCTCAATCCGCCGATCGTGGTGGTAAACGAAAATGAAGAAAAATATTGTTGGCATTTTTTTAATATGTCTGTTTTAAGCATATGTGCGTATTAAACCATATATGTATCGACATATATTAATGAAGATGGAAACTTGTTTGTGTACCATTTGTTTGTATAAGATTTGTTTGTTGTAATTTTTCGTGTGAATCTGTGATTATTGTTTATGTTCTATAATATCTATGTTTATTCATTGCTCGAGATCAATATCGTTGAATAAAACTAATTTAACTTTATCAATCTTTATTTTCTATATAGTCTCTATTAATTCGTAGGGTTGGTGGGCGTTTTGTCTGTGTACAGAGTAACAGCTCCTACAAATATCCACACCTGCATAAACAATAAAATAATCATGAATTGTACACAACTTGAATCATTATTCTAATTAGATGACAGGCACAATAATTGTAAAGAATACAGTCTAATGTAATCAGTTCTGTTTCATTAGATAATGATAATTAAAAGTGAGCGAGCTCATAATTTATGAGTTATCATTTATTTATATTATGAAAAATATCTATAAAAGAATACTTTAAACAAAAAACTCTTGTTTTGGGATGTTTCATCGCATTTATACAATTGCAATAAGAAATCATTTTATTGAGTGGATTTAGCAAAGAAAATAATTTTTCAAAAGCATTGAGTTTATTTCATCAAATAGAGATTGATCGCATCAAAGGAGATCTACTCATCTATTGGAATGTCATCAAAGCATTAGCACACATTGGAACGTCGTCTTTATCTCAATCGACAGTCGAACAAATTCCAAGAACTTTTCTACTCAGTCACCAAATTGCAAATGCTTTGATTGATATGTAGATAAATTACAACGAATATTGACCTTTTCTTTCTCGTTTAATCGAATAATTAAAGCGCTAGGGGAAATGCGGTCGTATTGAAAAAGCCAAAGAAGTTTTCCAGACTCTTCATCAACTAGACCAATTTGGATACACAGCGATGAGTTTGTTAAAAACCAAACGTCTCTCTAAAAGAATTTACTGTTTCGCTCGTTTTCCACTGTTTTAAATTAAGACTTTTGGTTTGAATGGAATGCGTTATCAAGCCATTGAACTTTTTCATGAAATACCTGCACATTTGATCAATGAGGTAACTTACATATCGGCGTGGCCAAATATCAGCACTTTCGCTTGGGGAAAGTTTAAAATTAGAAAGTGTGAGAGACTGTCTCGAAAGCCAATAGTGCGCTAGGAAGAGGTTACCAAGGTGTGGGTGTGGGTGTGGTTTTGTGGCGTGGGAGTGTTTTTGATTGGGTATGGATGTAGATGTCTGTGTGGATATGACTATGAATGGGTGAATGGTGCACATCGATACCCACACCCACACCCTCAATAATTCACCATTTTTGTTCTCTATATATAAATCAAGAAAATTTGTTGTATACCCAACTTCAGCTTTTAATTTTATGTTGAGATCGAATTTATTCCATCGATCAATTTGCTTTTCTAAATGTTGAGAAGACCAGTTAATGGTAATAAATATATCATCAATATATCGTATGTAGAGTCCATTGCTATTGTTAATTTGCTTAACGATATCACGTTCAAAAAAGAACATATAAGCATTTGCAATAGTTAGAGTTAGCGGAGAACCCATCGCACCACCACGTATTTGATGATAATATTTACTGTCGTAAGAAAAATAATTATTACGCACCACGAATCGACATAAACGAATAATAGTTTCAATTTTTAAACCATTAATCTGTTTTAGGTTCAAGTAATCCAGCATTTTCTTAATTGCCAAGATCCCTTCTGTTTGTGGTATCATCGTATATAAATCTATTACATCCATTGTACATATTAAAGTGTCTTGACGTGCATTACGTTTTGACCATTCATATAACTGTTTAATCACTTCAATTCCAGAAGTAACAGTTGTGCTTGATGCCATTCTATCAAATAGTGGACGAAGTAGTTCGTCGAGAAATCTCGATATTTTTATAGTTGGATGTTTGAGTCCAGATACAATTGAACGGAGTGGAGTGCCTGGCTTATGAGCCTTTGATAAATAAAATAAATGTGCTAATTCCACTTCGTCTTTTTTTATACTCAATTGTTCATATTGTTTTTGTGTTATCCAATTATCTAATCTTAACTTTAACAAATATTTATTTGTACTTTCAATTAAATTTGGTAATGGATCATTTTGATGTAAACATTCATATGCTTCAGTCTTTTCCATATATTCTTCAGATTTTTTATGATAATCTTGTAATTTACCTAAATGAAAAACTTTAGATTTATCTGTTTTCTTGATAACTATATTCGTGGAACGAAGCTTGTGTTTTAACCGTTTGATCAATCTTCCATAATTTTTCTGTTTTCTCTGTTTATCAGTAGTAATTGGACATTTAGTAAGTTGATATTGATTAAAATCAATTGTTTCTAATAAATTATCATATGTAATTATTTCACGCTGCTCTTTATGTTTTCGAATTGTTTTGTTAATCGTTGTATCATGTAAGTTTTTTATTATCCTATCCAATTCGGCTATAAATTGATCGACTGATCTACCGGAGCTTGCTTTTTTTTTGAAAAAACGAGTTTCAATTTTTCGTTTCAGTACAGTCAACTCAGTTGTTCGTCGTCGAGAAGCCGCTTTTGGATCATTATAGATAAATCGAGGACCTAATTTTAGTAATTGATATTCTTCCTCGGTTAATTTTGCTTTTGCTTCATTTCTTATAGTTGGAGCGAGAAATCCTCGCCCAACGATCTTGTAAGAGTCGGGGCAACAATTTCGTCTTGTTCGTTGACTTCGCTCTCGACTCGCTGCTCTTCTAAAAAAATACAGTGATTGTTCAGCTTCTAAATTTAAACGTTTTTCACGTAGATCATTGTAATGTTTAAATGCTAAAGAACCAGGATTTTCTTCACCATTAAATCTTTTATCATTTTCTGGTAAAATGCCTTGTATAATATTTTTCATTTCATCGGTTATAATTTCTCTTTCACGAGTAATTGATTGTAAATGCAAGGACATTGTTTGCATACGATGTTCTTTTATTAATTGACGCATTTGATCATATAATATTTGATTTTAAAATTAAATGAATATTCCATTGGTTTGGCGTCGCTATTTCTTTAAAGTCTTCTAGTGCTTTATATTCTTCCATTTGTACTTGTGCTAATCTTATTTTATTTTCAGCCATGTTTTTTACATGTTGTCTACAATTTTGAATATATTTTAAAATAGCTTTTTCCAATCGATCGATTGCATCACAACTCTTGAATTTATAGAAAAACAATTCAACCATGTATTTCAAAATTACAATATGAATCAAAGTGTATCAAATACAAATTATAATGCATTGCGAGAAAAAATGATTTATATGAATAAAAAAGAAGAAAGTATAATTAATTATAATAGAACTATGTTCGTTCATTTTACCTATTGTTTAAACATGAAAACATTTCCGCAAAAATTTCATACTCTTTGGAACAAATACTTTATTGAATCCCCAATAAATGAAATAAAGCCGGTCTTAGGTGCATGGAATGTTAAAAATTTGCAACAACAGCTGATACGCAATAAATAGAATTTATTCAATTATAATTGTAAAAAATCAATTTAGCAAATTAAAATGACAGATTAAAAGTTAAAAATGCTGAAAAAAGCTGGTCATTAAAAGATAGAAATGTGATGGTAAAAGCTTGTAGCAAAAGCTGATACACGATTACTATTATACATTCAATTTAAATTACTTAATATGAAATTAATTGGTGATAAAAATTTGGAATGTAAAATATATATATATAAATTAGAAAAAGCTGTTCATGTATACAAAAATTAGAGAAAAAAAACCTGTTTATATATACAAAAAATTAATAATGATTATTAAAAAAGATGGTTATATATACAAAATAGAGATTTCTTATTTTGGTATTAAATTGCAACAGCTTTCTTTTTGTGCATTGGATCTTTAGAAAAAAAATTTTCTTGTTTTTGTTGAAAATTTGCAAATATGAGCAAAAGAAATTTGTTTTATTCATTTTTATCGTTTTCCATTTCTTTTTAATTGTATTAGTTTTAAAATTGTCATACTGTTTAATTATGACTGCCAGTTACTCATCTCTTGATTTTTTAATGTATGCCTAAGAATGTAATGCAGAGCCCTGATGAATGTTTCAATTTTTGAATAAAAAACATGAAACGCGTTGGCAAAGTTAAAATCTGTATTTCTTAAAATTATTCTTTTGGCACACGATACAATTAATTATCATTTTATTGTTCATCTAAATCTTGACAAAATAATCGATTGCTGAAAAGCAAACGTAGAGTACAAGCAGATTGTATTTGTCTTTTCCTCACGATAGATAGGTCAGTCTGTTTTCAATTGATTTAATTGATGATGAATTAATATGTTCGTATATGTGTGTATTTGTCTTTCCGTTTTGCTTTCACTTACCCATAGTAGACATGTTTTATGTAATAAATCTTTTTCTTTTTGTTGTTTATTCATTCAAGTATATTTATTTTGTCTTTTTTTTTCGTCGATTTCATCTGATGTGTACAGTGTTCTTTTATTTCAATTTTACCGATTCCCAAAAATATATTCCTTTCTATATATGCAATATGCTATGCTTTCATTTATGTATGAAAGATTTGCAATTAGAGGAAATCAAAATAACATCGGCAAGAAATTATTTGGTTGATAATTGTGCCTAATTGAAAATCAAGTGACAACTATTTTATAGAAATTTAATGAGACGAATATGAAAATTGATGTATAGGTAATAATAAATTTTCAATGGAATCTTTATTCATTGATATTTATGTGAATAAGTATATGTGTGGGTTTCACATTGTTTAATAGCAATTAACATATAAAGGGTTTGTATTTTCTATTATTCATTAATTATAGTATATTAGAAATTCATCACTCCTTACAAACGCCTTCTCATAATTAACAATACTAGTTCATTTCAATAATCAGTCAACATACATTAAGTAATTTGTCATCTTCTTTGCGTAAGGATACTTCCAAAAAGGATGCTAGATAATATGTATGAAGGACAATAGAACATTCTATGAAGCTTCCTTTTTTTCATAGAAATTTGTTTTTTGTCGACAAAAGTTCATTTCATGATTAATATTTTGTGTACTTCTTGTCATCATGAGTATCATGTTCAAAACAATTCGTTTTGATGGCGACCAAATAAAGTGAAGAATGTCTTTTTCAATTTTTTTTCGCTTTTTATAGGAGCAGTATAGTGAAAAACAACATCATTTTTTTTTGATGAATGTTACAATTCATCTCTTATTTTGACACCTACTAACATCGTGTATTCTTATATATATATATAAAAAGAGAGAGAGACATACATTCTATTTCAATATTTGACACCATCATTCGTATTTTTTCTAGAAACCGTGATGAAAGTGTTGATATTCACAGTTGTTTTTATATGTATTATTCTATCATGCGGTAAGATAAAGACTTATATTGGATATTCTTTTTCGTTTCATTGTTTACTTTTGTCAAGTTCAAGTAGGATCATCAGAAAATATTGAGCCTGCTTCAAAATTGTCAATAAAGTATTTGCTTGACTCACCAAGTGACGCAAAATTACTAGCACTCTTGAGAAGTCGAAGAGCACAACTTTTTTAAAGTGATGACGACGACGACAACAATAGCAACGAAAACTACAATGACATGTCACGTAGTATAAGACCTTCAGCATCAATGCAACGACGATTCTTATTTCCTTCTCAAAATCTTGATCGTCGATCTCGACCATTATATGGCTATGGACGAAAATCTCATTGGGATACATTTTTTGGATAGACATAAATAAAACTATTATACAGTATTTATATCATTCTAGTTCGCATCTAGTCGTGCAGACAATATCTTGGACATGCGATAGTTTTATTTAATCTATCATTGAAAAAAGGATTCTAATGCTATTCATTTTTTTCTTTTAATTTCTTTTTTCTCTTTTCTTGCTTCTTAAAAGAAGCATATGGGTGTGTATTTTCTTGGCATGAATGTATCTGTGTCACACACGAATGCGTCCGCCTTTCACTATTGCTGTTTTACATTTTTTAATTTGTTATCTGAAAAGGAAAATTAATGGATAAAAGCTTATTTTAGTCGTTTACCAGTTTCATCGGCGATGGCTTGAAAAAGCCGGAAACCAAGATCTACATTTGATTCGATTTTCTGAATCTGCCTGTGTAGATTATCCAACTTATTGTTCAATTCTCTTTCTTGCAGATACATTGCTTGGTTCTCGTAAGCTTGATTCGTTGTGCGCATTAGTTCTGCTTTTTTTTCTTCGATACGTCTTTTATCAGCTTCCAATATGTTTTTTGTCGCGTATAATTGTTTCAGTTCGTAATAGTCGTCTTTTAGCTGAGCCATCGTGCTTTTGCCCTACAACAATACACAATACTGTATTATTTGTCAAGTTTCTGTGATTATTTTTACCTGTTCATGATACGCAACAAGCGACATAGTAGTTCTATCTCTTTTTTTGAATAAACTTAGACGTTGGATAGTAATTTTACAGTACCGGTAAAATTCACAATAGACGTGAAACAGAGTGGAAGAACGAAGAGTGTTGACACTGCGGTGTCACTTACAGAGATGCCAGGTGTTCCGGATTTTTGAAGTTTTTCCGGATTTTTTCCGGATTTTAGCCATTTCTTATTTCAGTTTTATTTCATTCATTTTAGCATTCTAAATTGTGAATAATTTGGTTGAGATTTAATATTTTCTTCTACTGGTCACCTTAGAAGTTCAATTGCTATTTCTTTCTCGGTGCATATAGTTTCTCTTCTCTTCTAGTGTAGATATCTATACGACGATAAACGAAATCGTATGTCAATGAAACTTGTTGTAGCTGAATTAAAAATTCGTTTTAACTCATTTTTATCATGTACAGAAAGGACGAGCGCAGATAAGGCTCTTTTTCCGCACCCAACATATTTAGGTTTTTTATATTAAAACCAAGTCAACAACGACTCCTGGTGATACCGCAAAGGTTTATTTTGCAACATCTCTCCATCAATTTTTGTATCCATACTTGTAATCTCCCACAGCAATGTTAAAAATAAGTTTTGGCCATCCCTGTGAGAGAGTACAAGTATGGATACAAAAATTGATGGAGAGTTGTTGCAAAATAAACCTTTGCAGTATCACCAGGAGTCGTTGTTGACTTGATTTTAATATAAAAAACCAAAATATTTTGGGTGCGGAAAAAGAGCCTTATCTGCCCTCGTCCTTTATAATTTTTTTTATCAAAACCAGAACTGCTGAAACTTATTCATTGTAATGAAAAATATTGTGCCAAAAAACAACGTGTTAATTAACTGTAAATTGTATAATTTCTAAGTTATTTTCTATAAGTTAACTATACTTAGGTGTTTGTTTTTTCTTTGTGTAATTAAAATATGTTTTATTTTGTGAAAATATATAAAGTTATTGATAATATATCTGAGAAAGAGGTTCTTTCCGTGACTAAAACTGATTCTTGACAGCCTTTCCGGATTCTTTCCGGATTCTGAAAAAAAATTCCGGAAGTTTCCGGATTTTGAAAACAAAATTCCGGATTTTCGACTTTCACATCTGGCATCTCTGGTTATGACTCTAATGCTGATCCGGTTAAGGACATCTAGCAGTAACTCCATCCTGAGTTCGCCCAACGAGTTATGTTGAGTGTAGAAGAGATTGTGATGGAGGCAGAGTTTCGAGCTGTATGGAATGGTGCCCGCTGTGAAGTGTTGTCATTTCATAAATGGGGGAAGGAGTTATAAGACCAATACTGGCCCCGTTGTGGCTTTCTAGTGGTAAGTCCAGCCAGGAGACGCGTAACCGCCTTTGTTGAATATGGTACAGTTTGTGTTCGATGTAGAAGTTCGAGTTGTATGGAACATCAGCAGTCAGAAGGATTTTGATCACGGTAGGAATCATGGTTATTTGCTAAGACGGCTCATTGTTTAGGGTTTTGGCGTGTAATTATCGCTTGGATGACTGAGATGAAGTATGGTTTGTGGCTTTATAGGATAGAGAGAAGAAACGAGCGTTGCGTTGAGGAAAAATTTTGACTTTGTAGATGGGTAATTTGTGCATTTGGAAGGATGATTTTTGAAGTTTGCGGCATTGTATTATAGTTTGATGTCATATTTTGTTGACTTTTTGAGAATGCATCGAAGAAGAAAATTACATTGATAATACATTGAGTTGAAGAAAGTCTGATTTCACAATAATTTATGAAGGCATAATGCTTCGGATATGGACTTTTTATATATTGCTGTAAAAGCTCTTCGGAGTAGATTGTGCGTTTGATAGTGTTGAGATTGTGCATAATCATATGATAGAATCTTAATACAGAAAATGCACGAATCTGGATGGCTGGACGGATAGAAAGCTCTTTCACTGATATTACTTTGTAGATTTGAGTTGTGAGTCTCGGGTAAGTCTACTTTTCGTTGATTTTGAACATGGCTTGCTGAATATATTACAGAAGGCTCTAGGACAAGGATGATTAGACCGGTATCGGATTAGTTAATGTTCGAGATTTCAGCCTCTCTTCATCAGTGCGTTTAAAAGTTTCTCGAATCCCTTGTTTCCTTTATCAAAAATGACTCCGATCACGATGATGCTTAATGTTGTTCATGTCTAAGTTTGAAATTCATAATTTGATTTTGGCTGAATTTGATATTAGAGAAAACCAGATCAAACTTGTGGCCCGTCATGTCTGTGAGCTCCACTATTGATGTTTAAATTTCGTTTCATAATTGTAAATTTATATAATATTCATAAATTCGTGTTTTTTAAGGTGTTTGATTTTTGGTCCAATCTTTAATTTAGGATATATGTTTATCTGTATAGCGGACCTGTCCCTGCTTAACGAAACGAAGTTATTACTTGTACTGTAGCAAAAGCATTGGAAGAAAAGAACTAAGTTCAATCAGTGATAGAACAAGCTCTTATAGAATACCTGGTCGTTCGTAAACAGAATTTCCCGCAGCACCATCGGCAACTCTTTCATCAACTGGTTTACTTGATGAACGTCGGCGTTCACAATTGAATCATCTTCGTCCTGAATTACAAATAATTTTGCATAATTATATTGAATC